CTGGCCCACATTCAGAGCAGTATACTGGACCCCCTGGACCCCCTGCAGTATGCCTACCGGCCCAACAGGGCCACCTCAGATGCCATCGCACCTGCCCTCCACTATTCCCTTTCTCACCTGGAAAATGGAGACTCCTACATCAGGATACTCTTCATTGACTACAGCTCTGCCTTCAACACAGTTGTCCCCTACAAACTCACCCACAAACTGTCCACACTGGGTCTGCACCCCACCTTCTGTGACTGGCTCCTGGACTTTCTGACTGGCAGGCCCCAGACTGTTAGGATTGGCAACAGGACATCAGCCAGCACTGTTACAAACACTGGCACCCCACAGGGATGTGTCCTCAGTCCCATCCTCTACACCCTGTTCACCCACGACTGTGTCACCTCCCACAAAGACAACATCATCCTGAAGCTCATGGCCAACACCACAGTGATAGGTCGCATCACTGGTGGGGACGAAGCAGGCTACAGGAGGGAGGTGGCTGGTCTGGTGTCATGGTGCAAGGACAATAATCTCAGCCTCAACACGGACAAGACGAAGGAGATGACAGTGGACATGAGGAAGGAGAGGAGATCTCATCACCAGGACTCCACTGCCCTCTCTGCAGGGCCTTTACCACCACAGGGTGCATAGGAAAGCTGCCTCCATCCTCAAAGATCCCACCCACCCCCAGCATGGACTGTTTGCCTCCCTACCCTCTGGCTGGAGGTTCAGAAGTGTGAAATACAGGACCTCCAGACTGAAAAACTCTTTCTTTCCCTCTGCCATCAAACTCCTAAACAGCTGAGGAGTTTATTACCAGGAAATACGTCATGACCTATGACCTGTACTGTTTACATTCTCAGTGTGCACATGCAAAACTGCACATTGACTGTTGTCTGCTGCACATGCTGCTCCCATGCAGCATACATTGTCTTATTATATTCTTATATATTTTTTATTATATTGCTGCATTGCTGCTTGAAGTGCCTTAGATTTTGTGTTACTTATCTACTTTATATTTCCTTTGTATGTGGCATTCATGTGGACAGCAAAGTAAGAATTTCATTGTGCAGGGAAACACGTTTCCTAACTGTGCATATGACAAATAAACACTTTGACTTATTACAAAACAGTTTGTGCTTTTCCCGTAATAAAATACTAAAAACGCTTGTGCTACTGAGGCCTCTAAAAATGTGTTTTTGGGCTGATCAATGCCCAAAGTATCAATACTACAAGTATAATATCTTGTTCTGTCTACCGATACACTGCCCTCAATAAAACCACTATGTATAAAAAAAGAAAAAAAGGCTCAGTCACGTTAGATCACGTATTTCTCTTTCATTACATGAGAGTACATTAGCTGCTTATAACAATACAAATCGGGCTATGAATATCAGTGATCCTGGCCAGGGAATTACTTGGTATCGACTCGAAACCAAATCATAGTCCACCCCTGTTAAACAATACTGTGGTCAAAATTCTTGCAGCTCATGACCACACCAAAGGCTAAAGCTTGTGAAAAGAGGTCACAAGTAAACATTACTTCATTTTAAGAGGCCACAAGAGAAAAGGGTTTGGGAACCACTGCCTTACATGCAGTATTTGGTCCTTCAATTTATTCTCAAAAAAGAAATCGCACTTTCCAAGAGTTAGACACGCTTGCTTGCAAGCTTGTTTCTCTGTCATGTGTGCCACCGCTAGGTAAACATTAATGTAAGGCTACTTTAGATTTTGCCATATTTCTGTGATTAAATGCCAAATTAAACGCTTCCTAGACTCCTCAGTTAACAAAGCCACCTCAGAGAGCCATCCTTATTGAGCTACGCATGTAACAACATGCATGTCTTGCTTGTTTCACTTTTGATGAGTCTGGATAGAAATCCATGCACAGGCAATAGGGGTTTGACAGCTATGTTAGCATGCAAGCTAACTCGCTAAATGTCAAATGGGGTTGCCACGAATTCCATCAGTTACAGTCAGTCAGTAACGTCGTATAAATAATATATCAAACTGTCAATTGACAATTGACCTTTTGTTAAGTTGTACAAATACCAACAAATGTTGTGTTGTATGATAAAAGTAGCTATGAAGCGCAAGTTGGGTTTCCAACCCCATACTACGCCTTGCTAACTGGGCTAAAGCTAAATTACGCTAAAGCCCGCCCACATGACCAACCAAAAGTCAGCTCAGCCAATAAAATAAAATAACAGGAAGGCAAAACCGGTGTCTAACCAATGGGTGGAAAAAGTGGGCGGATCAACTTTCTTCCATCGATGTCTGCTTACTATACACTCGCTTTACTAAACTATAGAGCAAAATGACAGATTATACTCCACGGTGGTACAAAGCCCACCTTCTTACCCATCATCAAAGTGGTGTTCTTCATTTTCACAGTCGCTGCAATGTCCGTGATCCTCTACATCTTCTTTCTCCGGCATCGGTGCTGTCTCATTCTCATCCGCCATCTTTAACCAGGAAGTGAGGAGTTACCACGTGTCTTCGACGCCTTTAAACGTCCCTCGGTGCTATTGGTTCAAAGCTGACATTGAAATGTCTTCACTGTTGTCTTTTACTGGCTGTTTCCCAATATTTACAGCAAATACATGCTTATAATATAGTGGTGGTTCATGTTTGAAGCGTAATTTGCCTTTGACAAATTAAAACAGCCTGCCTTCCTAGGGAGGTGTTCCGGGCATGTCCCACCGGGCAGAGGCCCCGGGGAAGACCCAGGACACGCTGGAGGGACTATGTCTCTCGGCTGGCCTGGGAACGCCGCGGCATTCCCCCGGAGGAGCTGGAGGAAGTGTCTGGAGAGAGGGAAGTCTGGGCATCTTTGCTTAGACTGCTGCCCCCGCGACCCGGTCCCGGATAAGCGGAGGAAAATGGATGGATGGATGGATGGATGGATGGAAATTAAAACAGTAAAGTATCTGACGTGACGCACGTGAGAGGTGGTGGATATACAGCCGTGGGATATGTAGGCTATGATATAACATAGACTAATACGTACTGTACATGTATATAAATTCTCATATTAATAATAACACGCCATAATACCAGTATGTGTCACTTACCAATAAGACACCCATTATAACGTGGTTGTAAGTGAAGACTTCATGGTTAATTAATGGTTTACTGATGCTCTACATATGTTTTATGCATTGTATCGAACGTGGCAGAATACTGAGGTTAATATTGTATCCAGATCCTCAATATCGGAAGGGCCTTCGAGAAGTCAAATTAACTGTTTTATGTACAAATTTTACGTTTATTAGCCTTGTAAGTTAATAATCACTGGTGGCAGAATAAAGGGTATGACACATGATTCACCTGTTTTGGTGCACTAAAGAGCCTGCACACAAGCATGACGATGTATTTTGGACTGACTCAAAATCAACTGGTTTCTATGCTCACTGCATGCATGTCACCCAGTGCAATCATATGATTCATTGATCAACAGATTTTGGCCAACACTGGAGATAAACAACACAGAGGAAGGAGCTATATCACATACACTTCATATGCTATTTGGTTCTGGTGTTCTCCTAGAGTCTGTTGGCAATAGCTTACTAAAATATAGAAAATTACTACTAGAACTACTTTTGGGCTGTGAAAAAGTAGTTCTTATTTAAGTTGCAGCATGCTACATTATTTTAGCCTAGCTCCACCTGCATTTCATTGGTCTTCTTAGTTTTTCGAAGCTTACCAACTGACAGAAAGTTGTTCAGAGGTTAAAAAGAAACTGCGAACCAAACATCAACATAGGTCTGTATATGCACAGAACAGTAAAAGGGCCCACACAGCAATGTGTAGTTAGTGCTTTTATGAAAACAGTATTTATCTTTTACATATACCAACTGTCATTCCCACAACATAGACTATAAGCTTTAACACTGCAAGGTCAAACAGCAGCCACCATTTGTTACATGCTACAATCTCTTTAAACCTGTCTTGTTTGATCATATAGAGTATACTGTTATTACAGTAATCTGTGCAGCAGCTTACATCATTGAACATTTTATTATCTGGAAATCTCCTTAAATGATTCACTGTAACCTGCAGTAATCAGTGATTTTATGAGTTAGTTCCAATTAGTGTTAATTACAGTTTATTTAATAAAGAATGTGATAAGAATTGGCAAAAACATACAAATAATGCTGATATAAAAGGTAAAATACCTACATGCAAATATTTTAAAAACACAATTTGATTGAACACTATATTTTAAAGTGTTAAAGGAGGCAAATACAAAACTTGACATTTTAAGGAACATAAGCATATCTGTTTATAGTTCATCTGTAAGTTATGGAAATATGTTGTCAGTTATTTGGTGAATAAGAAGTCTTTCACCTCAGAGGAATTACTGCCAAAGTAAAAGTATCAAGTTAGTATTCAGTCAGACTACATAAATAAGCTCTTTGAACATTTGCTCATGGACAATACCATCTGTGGCAATCAGTGAAACTACAGTACATCTAGATAACATCTCAGTGCTAATACAGTAATTTGTAAAATTATTTCTTATTATTTAGTTACAACCAGTTGTGCTTAGAGTCCTTCTTATAGTTCTTACAATACAGCTGTAGCTAAATGCTATATTTGTTAAACAAAATATTTAAGTTAAAGCCAAATACATATTAAATATAAAAATGGTAAAATATTTTAAAAATCCTTTGAGCACTTTTTTTTACTCTATCCAAGATACATGGGATTTAATTTTAAGCATAAGAGTCCATGTTAAAATGTAGTGAGTAAAGAATCCAATATCAGTGTGTTTTATGAACCACAATCCTGTGTTGCCAGAGTGCTCAGCACTGACAAGACCAGATACCTTCAGTGTATCATGCACTCACTGTCCAGCTGTTCAATTGCTAAGAACCAATATGGTTCTTCATCTTGAATAAACAACATCTTTCTTCCTGCTTTGGGAAGTGGCTCAGTGTAAATTGGACCACTTGAGTTCTGGACCGAAAGACCTGCTAGCAGCAGCCTCAGTCTCCATCTCCTCACATTCAGGGGCCATTTTTTAAAGTCTTTTTGTGTCAAAAAATGTAGCTTTCTATCTGGTTCAGAGGCACATCATGCCTTGGTTTTGCCAATGGTCAGACGCTGGGGCACAGTTTTGATGTAAACTCCTTTGCGGCTCACTTTGACATTAATGAAGAGTGTGGCGGGAGACAGGCTGGAACCATCTGCCCTCAATAAGTGAACATGTCTATAACCTGAGAAAAGAATATAGCACACACGTTACATAGAGCATGCAGCAGTGATGGCAGTTTTATAAAATGTAGATGAAGTCTTTATGAATACCTGTGCGTAGACTTGTGAATGGTAAGGTGAACTGTCCCACAAAGTCATTTTTGCGTGTGTGATCATGGTCCTCCACTACAAACCGCACCAGGGCCAGATCAGGGACCTGCAGCTGAAAGCTCAGAGTGCTGTCCCATCGTGGGTTAAAACCTGTAGAGGGTGCACAAGAGCTATAAATATTGTACATCACCTAGCGTTGTGGCTTTTGAACAAACTAATCATGGCTTTGGAGAGGAAAGAACACAGAAACCTCAAACATCTGCACTGCACATAATCAGGTTTCAAAAAGCTAAACTATCTATTTACCTACTGTTTTCATGTCTAAGTCAATAAGACAATAATGAATAAAAATCATTATTCTACAGCAATAATTAATTATAACCAAGCTAAATTATTCCTACAGCTAATCATATAAGTTTGTTGTTTTAATGAAATCTCAGAATTACCATTGTTGTCAACACGGTGAGTTTTTTGTCTTGCATTATCAATAGCCACCCCATGAATTTCCACCCACACTTGTGGATCCACGATAGAGCTTGCCTTATCTGTGTTGATTTTTGGCAGCTGCTGTGCAGATATTACCTGAGAAGAAAAATGTAGTCAGTTTGCATGTTCACATTCTGGTGGGATTTGTATCAAATTTTTATTGAAGTCAGATCAAGTCAGTTTTATACATTCCATGTTTTATGTAACCACTATCATTAGACCCTTGTTTCAGATAAGGAAAAACTCCCAAAAAACCTTGGAAATGGAAAAAAATAAGAAATCCTTAGACAGAAAACCAGAGGAATAATCCCTCTTCTAGGTTATTGCCAAGTATTCTAAAAAATACAAGGAATTTGACTCCACAGAAATAAGACAATCAATTAAATGACATTCATTTTCTACTGCTTAGTCCCTGAACAGGGTCACGGCTGGAGCCAATCCCAGCCGGCAATCGGGCGAATCAACCTAAGCTGCATGTCTTTGGACTGTGGGAGGAAGCCGGAGTACCCGGAGAGAACCCACGCAAGCACGGAGAGAACATGCAAACTCCACACAGTTTGCAGCCCCGAGTGGGGCCCGAACCCAGAACCTTCTCGCTGTGAGGCAACGGTGCTAACCACTGCGCCACTGTGCTGCCCATAATTAAATGACAGTATTCAGTAAATAGATTACAAATATAAAAAAAAAAAATTGGTCTAGAAAAACAAAGTATGCTCAAATAGAGTGCTGTAGTAGTGAGTCCTAAAATCCTGAACTGAGTTAACATTTTTGCACTTTTGGTTCTCACGCCCTGAAGCCAGTGGGCTTTTTGAATGGGTTTCTGGTTAGACATCTGAAATAAGGTCTGTGGTTAGCACAAGGCCAATACATTTTCATGCTTTGTTCTATAAAACAAAATGTCAGTAAATACACCACTTGTGAATTTTAATGTGTTTACATGTCTTCAAAATGGTCTTTGCTAACAAGTGACTAAATGAGACTAGAGAGGCCGTCTGGGATATTAACCGTCATCACAAAGACTAACTAATCTACTCACTAGTCTGCCTTTACATCCTCGTTATTTTTAAACTTGTGCACTTGCAAACTATTCCAACTAACTGACACAGCCATGATCACTAGCTAGATTAGGAAAGAGGAACGAGGGAAGGATTTTGGAGAACAGGTTAGGTGCGCTCAATCAGTTTACATGTTGGAAACACCATGGTGACATTGAAATCGGGGGACCGTAGTGTAGTTTGTTTATACCCTAAGATTTATAAATCCCATTGTCTCGTTGTCAAAGGAACACTGTTAGCTAGTAGGTTACTCACTCGTATAGTCAGCTGGGTGGGGACATGACCTGGACCTCCTCCCGTGCTCTCTGGGTTAAAGTTGGATGTGGGGCTGCACAGGAAGCTGGGTTTAAGGACATATCCGCAGTGACCATTTTCAAGGAAGCGACCCTGGTTCAAGTCCATTTGCTCCCCTGGTGTCTGGAAATTAAGAGCCACTACACAGCACACAGAGGGGAGAGGAAGTGATAACACAGCCCAATCATACATGTGCCAACAGAAAACATTTCAGCATGAGCGAATTATAGTCAGTGAACCAGTAAAGCCCTGTAGCATCGATGTGTTGTGATGTGGCAGCGATCTGCAGAAATGTGCACTTTCTAAAGCATCTATTTAACACTTCTTTGGCATTTTCTGATCATGTAATGTTTTGTAATTGAATTGCCTTAATTTGCACCCATCTGAACAGGATCCTAGCTTCTAGACAGAATTACTAACCCATCTGGCAGCCAGCATTCCACATTTCCTGAGGATTATAGTTGGATGATTGGAGGCGCTGGCCGGAGGGGTAGATCCGGCTCAGCTGTCTGCTGTTGTGTCTTACAAACAGTTTTCCTGCAAATGAAAAGATAGCAATCCACATGCCATGATACTGGAGGTTGATTATATTTTTTGTAGAATCAGCTGCAGCAAAGCAATGTCAGTAAGTCTTTTTTCTTTCTGTCTGTTATGTCAAGATGTAATTATTTCCACTGTTTTACCTGAGTCTTTAATGAGCCTTAGGGCCTCACTTTCAGAGAAGGAGGACATTTCATCGGCTGATTTTTCAGATAGATTTTCAAAGCCACGAAAGGTGATGCTCTTGCAGTACACCACAAGATCTGAAAGCTCAGGGCTCAGTTTAGCACAAGCCTGTAAAGAGCAAATGCAAACATTTAACAAAATTGGCCCAATTAAGTAAAAGGTTTGTGTAAACAGGTTCCCAGACTTAATTACAAGCCTTCCTGAACTAACCTTTGTAGGATCCTTCTTGGGTGTGTTCTTAATGCTGCTTGCTAGGTCATCTTCAGAGCCTGAGGAGACGCTGGCATTGCTGCTGGTCTTGCCGACCTGGCACAGGTGAGGTGTGTGCTTCTTCCCTTTTACCAGAATACGCCCCTTCAGATCCTGCAAGAATGGCCAATGGAACAATTGACTTCATTAGAAAATCAGATGGCTAGAGGTCTTTGAAAAAGGAACCAGCTGTGTCGGTGTGTGTGTTCTGCACCTCAGGAGAAGGCAGATCTTTCAGCGGCTTGTCACTAAGGGGCTTGGTGAGCAGTTTTTTGTCCAGGATGGTGTGGAGGTGTTTGGCCATCACAGCCTGCTGTTCCACAGAACAGTGGTTCTCCAAGGACAGAATGAGAGGGTATGGGGATGCCTGAAGGGAAAAGCACAAGAAAACTCTTATGCCAAGCTATTAAAATGCAATTAGCTCACATAGTAGCAGAGCAGGCCTAACACTGCAATGGTTTTGACACTGTAGAGTATGTCCAAACTAAAATACACCAGGGTTGCCTTTTAGCCAAGTTTGAAACCATTAGAGGTGCAGTAGGCTGTGAAAGCAAGAAGTCAGCAATCTAGATTTGTTTACTGACCAACTTCTCACTTATTTCATTAGCAGTAATTAGGCGCCGCATACTGTCACAACTGAGGATTTCTACGAGTAAAAGATAACGTTTCTCTTACCTTAAAGGCATATTGGGCAATGGTTTCAATGACTTCTTTGAAGGGCACTTTGGAGGTTAGAGTGTGGCCATGGTAGATGACAGGTTCTCCTTTATCTCCATCCCAGCAGTCCAGCTCCACACAACGACAGCCCTGGTTCAGAGCCCTGACAGTGACACACACATGCTACTCAAATTGTAAAATATGACACCACAGGGTGATTACAGTGAGCAAGCTTGTGGGTGGAATAACAAAATCTAAATAGCTATTTGATGGAGTTTGAGGAATATCTCTCTGATTACTTGATGTATGGCTCAGTGCTGCTGGCGCCGGTGACTTGGTCCTTGGTAAGGTAGGTGTTGTGCGACGAGGAGATGTAGTAGTGGGCCAATGGATGGCTCATGTCCTGGCAAACTCTTGCATGGTCAGGATTAAACACATCATTCTCCAGTGACAGCATGTACACAGTGAAACCATTCTGGGTCATGAACTGGTTTTTCTGTGCTGCAATTAATAGCACAGTGTTTCTGTTAGAGGTTTTTAGTTTGTTTCTCATCAACAGTATAAACATAAAAATTACACCTTTCTTTTCTCACAAGGGTTGAGCTTAATAGTCTAGGAAAACATTAACTTTATTATTTAATCACACTAATAGCTCCTTTTTTTTACAATTACTAATAGTTCTGTTTTCTAAATATATTTTCTAATATACTGGATAAGAAACACCAAAAAAATGATGCGGATCATATCTTGTTTTAGTTTTAAAATAATTCAAAGATTCTCTTAACCAGATAGTCATCTAAAGTTTGTAATTTATAACATATTTTATGTCATTTGGACTGAACCCATGCAAATAAATAAAAAATTCAGTCCTTTAACATCTTTCTTTTATTTTGTCAGTCAGGAGATAGTAGCAAAAGAGACATCCACAGTGTTTATATGAAAATGTTGTGGATTCTTACTTTAAATCCCTTAATTACTGCTTTTAGGACATACCCCACTCATTGAGCTCATAGGTGAGTATGAGTTTCTGAGCATGATTCAGCGAGGCGTCCTCGCCTTGGTCTCCAAGAAAGTCACGCAGCTCCATAGTGGAGAGCACACAACCATTACTCGAATAGTGTCTGAACACAGCATCCAGCTCAGGTCGCCGCAACAGCTCCCTGCAGAACTCCTCGATCTCGATATGATCCAGACGTCCATCACCGGATCGGTCACACTTCTGTGAAGAGAGATGAGTTAAAAAAGATAAACAAGTTGAATACACAGAAAAAAAACGAGTTTGTTTTTTTGGGGGGGGGATTGCTTCAAAATACCTGTGGAGAAAGCATCTCCATAAAATTCATCCCATTTACAATAAAAATATGGCTCTCCAAGGAGGGTCACTATTGGAGAATGCTGAGATCTGAGGGCACAGCAGCCAGTAATCAATCCCCTACAATAAAGAAATAACTAGCTCTTGATTTGTTATGGGGAAGATAGGAGAGAAGGTATAAAGATGTGTAGGTGGGCTGGTGGTTGGTTTGCTACTGTCTTGGTAATTGAACACAGACTCTGGACTCCAGGGTATCAGAGAAATGAAATTGATTCAACCCTAGTTGACACATTAGCAACTCTATATCTCTGTGCTTCTCCTCTATGTCTTCTTACACTCTGTGTTTTCAGAATTCAGTTCATATGAGTTATATCCTGTATTAATGCTGTACACATACTACAAATACTTGACCAGACCTTAAATAAAGAGCGGGCATACTGCTCATTCAGGTCAATGTTGATCATCAGTAGCAGCCGTTTGACCTCATCGTAGCTCATCTTGCCGTCCCGGTTCTGATCCGCTCGCCTCAGGTAGCCTCGGATCCAAGTGTAGAGAGTTAAAGAATAAAACCAGGCTACACCTACAAACAGGCATATCATTAAAGTGGTGTTTGGATTCACAATGTGCAGCTTTTTATTTGGCCCACTTGCAACCTACTGTTTACCCTGTCCAAGGGTGTTCTTAACTGAATGGGGTTATTGTTTCAATATGTACCTGCAAAACACTTGACATTGTGCACTTGATTATGGGCTGTACTAATTAATATTATTGACCCAAGGTTATGCACACAAGCAAAATGAAAGACTTAGTTTCTGCATTATGGACCCATTAAAGGGGAACTCTATCAATTTTGCACATCAAACTTTGTTTATAGGTGTCTTACGGCCTAATATTGTATACATGAATAAAGTTGTATAAAGCCTTTTGTTGAACGTTTGAAAAAAAATCTGGGAGTGTGGGGTGTGGAGTGAACTTATCAGACCTCTGTAGCCTGCTCCTTAACTCAGTGCGAGGCTAGCAGCTTGAGGCTACATAAGCTGTTATTAGCATAGCACACCTAACTTTCCAAATGAACTATTGGTAAATACGTAAGCTGCATTGTGGGTAATGTAGGCACCCAGTTCTGACAAAAAGAGTTTATGGACTAAAACTATATGGTATGTTTGGTTCTCCTGAATTGATTTTGATCCTTATATTATAGGAGTGCAATGCTAAAATTCAACTGTTGCCACAAAATCTTTTATAAATGACTTAAATTATAAACTCAACTGAACATGGGATTAGTTGTTTGTTGGGATGGACATTTCTGACAATATCTATCTTGTTTCTAGGCAGGCTGAATGTTGTCATCTGTGTGTGCAGTTATGCAAACTGTTACACAATAAGTCCCAAACTTTCACAATACTGTTTCAGATAAACACAACCTAGGCTACTTGATAGTCTGCTGTATGACACATAATCAGTAAATAACAAGATAGCATGAAATGATAATTACCTGTTGAATTATATATTCACAAAAATAAGCAGAGGATGAACGAGAAATAGACAAGAGGAGCAGAGATGATCTTAATGTTATACACCACACGATATCTATTCTCATATTTTCCTCTAGCTATGATGAATTGTAATTAACAGTGGATTATATTTAGATGGGGCTTTTTAATGAGTCATTACTGTTCACCTTAGCTATGCTGAGAATTTCACACATGTGACAGCAGACTCAGTCACCATAGTAATGCTGCCTCAGTTCCACAGTATTTACACAGTATATTTATTCTGGCATATTGTTTAGTAGGCAGGATATTGGTCCAGCTTTTCCTTCTGAGTCATGTTGGACACTAGCTCCTTTAAAGTGCGAAGCCCTCGTACCCAGCGCCGAGCATCATCCTCACAGGGGCACAGCAGGTCCAGGCTCTTCCTGTCTCCTTTGAAGACCACTGTGAAGCATTGGTTCTCCTCTACTGACCCAGACAGCTGCCTCAGCGCCTCTGATTGGCAGCCTTCACGCACACACTCCACCTCTGTCACTGCGACTGGGAGAAGACAAGAAAGTGAAAGGTTTAGGCCAAAAGGGTTCTGTTATTGGTGAGCAAACCAAATAAAGGTCAAGTGGTTTAAGGGAGTCATGAACCCCTCCTGTAAAGGCACAGTGACATAGCAATGTGACCGTATAACATAATGTGCACTTTACATACAGAACTTCTCAATAG